AGTCCTTGTTACTTATGTGCTTTACTTTTTAAGTGGCATCATTGGCAGGGAATATTTTATTGCAAAACTATGCATTCTGTACATTTTAAACTTTTGTATTTTACCACAAACTGTAAGCCTAAAATTTAACTACTAAATATGGACAAATTGGCATTGGGGAATATGACAAGTGCTACCATGGTCTTCTATTTTACTAAAGGAGAGCCTAACATGTGCACGCTTCGTGAATTCAATGCATTTGTATTATCTAATACAAATTTTATGCTTCGGATAGTGCATATTCACTTCATGTTCTTGACATTGCTTCTCTGTGATGTTACCGTGAGTTAAATTCTCTGTTCAGATTTTAGCTTTGATTTAGTTGATAAAGGTCTTTATTCTGTGATGTACCTCCACATACAGCCCCTCAATGTACCTTACTATTAGTCTTTCTGGCTACGTAATCCTGGTAAATGGAGCTATAATAATCTAATTACAGTGTCCGCCACTGATATTGGCATGGTTAAATATTAAAAAGGCTTTGATAAAATGTAGTTATTTATCAATCTCTCATTCAGGATGTGAAGAAATGTAAACTACGATTTAAAAAAAAACTTCAAGCGAAATTTTTTTTTTTTTTTAATAAATATTTCTCACAAAAACATCTGCCACAATTACAACCCCAATTCCGAAATAGTTGGGACGAAGTGTAAATTGTGAATCAAATCAAAATGCAATGACTTTCAGATCACATGAGCCAATATGTTATTTACAATAGAACATAGATATCATTTCAAATGTTGAAACTGGGACATTTTACATTTTTATCCACAAAATGAGCTTATTTCAAATTTTCTGGCTGCAACAGGTCTCAAAAAAGTTGGGACACAGGCAAAAAGGGCTGAAAAAAGCAATTAATATATAAGAGAATCAGCTGAAAGAACATTTAGCAAGTAACTAAGTTAACTGGCATCAGGTGTGTAACATGATTGGCTATAAAAGGGATGCCTTAGAGAGGCCGAGTCTCTCAGAAGTAAAGATGGTCAGAGGCTCTCCAGCTTGTGAAGGCTTGCGTAAAAAATTTGTGGAATACTTTAAAAACAATGTTCCTCAACGTCAAATTGCAAAGGCTTTGAAGGTCTCATCATCGACAGTGTATAACATCATCGATGGATTCAGAGAAACTGGAAAAATCTCTGTGCGTAAGGGACAAGGCCGAAGACCTTTACTGGATGCGCATGATCTTCAGGCCCTCAGACGCCACTGCATCACTCACTGGCATGATTCTGTCATTAACATTACTAAATGGGCCCAGGAATACTTCAAGGAACCACTGTCTGTAAACACAGTCTGCCGTGCCATCCACAGATGCCACCTAAAACTCTATCATGCAAAAAGGAAGCCATTGTTCAGCATGATCCAGAGGCACCGCCGTGTTCTGTGGGCCAAGGCTCATTTAAAATGGACTGTAGCGAAGTGGCAAAGTGTCCTGTGGTCAGACGAGTCCAAATTTGATATTCTTGTTGGAAATCATGGGCGTCGTGTCCTCCGGGCTAAAGAGAAGAAAGACCACCCCTCATGTTATCAGCATTCAGTTCAAAAGCCAGCATCTCTGATGGTATGGGGATGCATTAGTGCATATGGTATGGGACACTTGCATGTTTTAAAAAGCACCATGAATGCTGAAAGGTATAGCAGCCATCAAATTTGAACAGAGGTCATTTTGTGGATAAAATTGTAAAATTTCTCAGTTTCAACATTTGCTATGTTATCTCTGTTCTATTGTGAATAAAATACTGGCTGGTGTGTTTGAAAGTCATTGCGTTTTGATTTTATTCGCAATTTACACTTTGTCCCAACTATTTCGGAATTGGGGTTGTACTTGCGCCCATGGAAAAGTTTATTATGAAATATAATTGAAATGCATTCCCATTCACATTATTCTTTAAGTTCACTATAATGTTAAAGAAAACTTAAATAGTTACCGATGACTTCCCGTCTCCTCGGGGTATAAATATGTGGTGATATATAAGTTAATTTCCCTTCATCAGCATGGTGTAATCAAAAGATTAAAACCATCATGAGTGACAGAAAGTTTTTCGGCTTTACATATATGGAAATGGCTATAAGAAAATAGCTGAAAGGACAATGCCAATTTTGATTGTCCGACAAAAAGATTAAAGCATATTGCAATTTCAAAAATCCAACTGGAAGAGAGCTTGTGCTTATTTTTAGTGCATGCACCGCGAAGAGTATGGTTCAGGTGGCAAAGGAAACTTCCAGAATCGCAGTCAGAGAATTGCTGATGTAAATTGTCTTGGAATCTGAAGTTTGCAAAATGGGACAGGAAATTCCGATGGAACCTAGTTCTGTGGTCAAACGAGACCAAATAAATCTGGCAATAAATGCCAGGGATAGATCTGGCATAAAAACAGAGATAGCATTCTTTTAAGAACCCCTTCTGAATTATGATGTATGATGGTTTATATTTGATGCAGTAGGCCAGTTTTTATTCCTAAGGCCCTGGACAACTCGATTGGATTCATGTTATTATGAATTCCTTCTAATTCTTGCAGATAGTAAGTGGAAACCTAATCGCTGCCATCAAAAAGCTTAAACTAGGCCATGGTAGAATTTTTTAACAGGACGATGATCTGAAGGATGTATCAAAAAAAGGTTTGCCTTGCACAGAATCAAAGTTTTGCCATGGCCCTCCCAGCCCTTTAACCTAAATCTAATAGACGACCTGTGGGACGAACTGAAGAGGAGACTACATAAACGTGGACCTTTGAATTTGAAGGATCTGTAGAGATTATTGATAGAAAAATAGTCTCAGATCCCTTGGCATGTCTTCTCAAACCACATTGCACATTAGCAGAGTTGATTGAGGGCTTCTATCTTGGCAAAAGGAGGCCGCACAAAGTATTAATTGAAGGCCACCCAATAATAGTGGGACACATATTACTGAGGGGGTATTTGTTTCATGATGATAATATATTTTTCCTTCAGTAATTGTATTTCAATTAAATATTTTATTTTTGTCAATTTTGAATTAAATATCAAGAGAATAAACAATAAAAGCATTAATTCATAACTGCTTTTGTTGTATTTGTCAATGTCGCCAATATTTGTGGAGGACATGAGGCATCACACTTTTACTCAGTCTTCTTCATTCCCTTTGGAATATTTCAGAATAAAAGTCATGTTGATTAATCACTGAAAAATCAATAAAAAAATGAATATTTTCAATTTAATTGTGTCGCAAAGTAATTACATTTCAGACTTTAAAACTACAGCTGCATATTGTAGCTTTAAATCTGCCTTTTTCTTTCTCCTAGATTTCAAACAAAGAACAATGGCAAGGTTTGCACACACCCCAAAGCTCTATGGGTGCCAAAGACACTCAACGGTACTGTGATCAAAATGTTTTTATTCCACAAGTGACAGTGCAAGATTGGTAATTTGTGTTGGTTTGCATTTAGATTTTTTCACTGCTAATTTTAAAATGAAATAAGCTATTCAGACTGAGCCTTTTTATTCTGAAATGATGTGAGATTGCAAGAAATTATGAGATTATGTGTACTATCACTGCAGCAGGAATTATGTGCTTATTATTATTATTATTATTATTATTATTATTATCTTTCCCAGAATTACAGAAGAAGACCAAAGCGGGCAAAAAGCCATGATGAAAAGATGGAGATGGACTTGGGGCATATTTTAAATTTACGTCTGGCCATTTTTTTTCCCCAGATCTTTTTCTTCAACTTTTACATGAAAAAAAAAGTTTGAAGTCAAGTTTCATATTTATGTTCCTTTTCTATGATATATCTTAATATATTGTAATACCATATATTATGCTGCTTATCTTTACTTTGTAGCCTTTGTGAAACAAAACCTATTAAAACAAACAGATCTCGTCTTTCCATGTTTCAATAATATAAAAAAATTACATAAATTGTAAATAGATTCACTTTCAGCCATATCCCTTTGAATGAAATATTATTTAATTGAATTATTATGCTATAACTTAGCAAGCTTAACCTGTGACCCTTAATCAAATATCCTCAGTAAGATGAAGACCTATTTACATAACCCCTATGAAATCCATGTGGCCGCAATATCGCTAATTATACCCCTCACATTATACAACCTCAGGAAAAATGTATCACATATTTGATCTATAAACATGTTTTCTGAATGCTTATCAGAGTTGGAATATACTGTGACTGTCATTCTTTGCTTCTTGATGATTTCCCAGTTATTAATAATCATCTTCCACAGGAAATTATGTGTAATGTTCCAGTTGTTTCATGTCCCGGAGGTTGTATTTGGTTATAGATCATAAATGTCTTCTATGTCTGCGAGCCATTGTTGTACATGGTTCTTGACTGTCTCAGTGGTCAGGGCTTGAGCTGAGGGGAAATTCACAGAAGCGCTAAATGTGAGATACCAAGAAAACCTAGATTTCCTGTCTTTGCAGGAAGATTGTGCTGTATAAATCCCCCTAACCCTACCCCATGAAGGCTGACTAACACGCACATCTGCTAACTAACACGAAGACTAACACTTGTTTGCATGCAAACACGCAAGCACACACAGACACGCCGTGTTCTCAGGAGCAAATATTTTCCATTGCTCACTGGTTTCTTTTTATCCTGAAACTGCTCTGCTTCCCTTAACTGATACAGTTTATGGACAAAGACTCACAGCATCCCCATTTCTTATATTAAGGCACGCTACTGAAATTAATTGAATAAAAATGTTTTTATTGCAATAAAACTAAATACATGTTAAAAAACAAAATAGAAAAATGAAGATTAAGATATACTTTAGTGAACCCCGTGGGGTAAATTGTCCACTGCATTTAACCTGCCCTATGGTTGGGAGCAGTGAGCAGCCACAGGGCATCACCTGGGGACCAACTCCAGTTCTGAGGCCGGTTCCTTGGTCGGGGATGCCGGTGGGGGTGTTCCTGTGGTGCGTGGGGGGGCATGTGGGCGCGGGGGAGTGTGCAGGCTCCACACAGGGGGCTGGATTTGAGCCCATGACCTTCTTGCTGTGAGCTGACCGTGCTAACCACTGCACCACCGTGCCACCCTCACCAACAAAAAAACACTCTTGCCATAAAAACAAAAAATTATTTTGGAACACCAATCACCATTGACATCAGCAGATGTATTAATTTTGTATGAGGAGAGGTCCCACATCGAGAGGTTGATGTTTGTAAGGCATTGCTGCATTTTGCAAGGGAGAGTGCGCTCCATCACAATTTTCCAGAGCATTCTATAATCGAAAAACTAATAGCCAAGGTGCAGTTAAGTAGATTGGCTTGGAGTTAACATGCAATGTGGTAACCTATGAGGTTATGATAATTGTTTCTATACATTAAGTTGCTGCTTATCGACTCAGCCAGGAGGAGGCAAATAAGACCATTTTTTCCAAGTTTTAGTTCTTTGAGGTCATATTTTGTCCTGTGGAAAATTAAACTCATTTCAGAATCAATTGCTAAATCCTCAGATGGAAAGCCATTCACTTTATTCATAGTGGAGATTAGAGTGCCCTGTGCTGAGACTCTGGATAAAAGTGAAAATCAGTCTGTTACATAAATTTTCTCAACTGAAGTTTTTGTTTTGAATAAAACAACTTTTTCAAAAAACACAGAATCCTTATTTCATTGAGTTACATTGAACAGAATTCTCTATTCACATAAATAGCAACCCATGATCACTTTTTTTCCCATGTACTGTAGCCTGCTGTAGTTTAGCTTTGAGAGAAAAGAGTGACTGGCTCTTGTCCACGCGGCACAATCTTGCCTGCCCTCTTTGTGCTAGAGAAGGAAACCTTGACATATTGAGAAATTCTTGGGGCATGAGCTGAATTGACTGGTACATCTTTCCCTAGCCCATCCACTACCAAGAGAATTACTTTTCGTAAAAGTGCACAAAGCCCTTGAAAGAATTTTTTTTCCCATTCTTTTTTTCCCCCCCTCTGATTTCAGAGATTTCAGTCGGTGTTCTTGATATGCATTGCATTCAATTACCAGAAGTTTTTGTTACACCAGCTTTTAAGATGTTGTAGTCATAATTTTGTGATCTTGCATTTTACGGGCTGACTAAAACAGTGACATCTCAGTCTGAACCATTACTCATTTCAGAAATCACATTTATTGTACATAGAGTGAACACCATGATTCATGATTTACATAATCATTTCGCACTTATTACAATGAGCCAAAACAGGTTTTTCAATACTTATTCATATACAGTATATATGCAGTATATATGTATAAGCCTACATCTGTTGGTGCTTGGGAGAATTCTGAATTTACACTGGGCAGTTATGCAATTAGGTAAGTCATCCTTCAAACATCAAAATGTTAATTTCTTTATAATAATAAATAAATAATAAAAATATTAAAAGAGAGATTTAAGATACAGAGCATATTTTATTTGGCTTGCTGTGAGACTGTGATTCACATCCATAAAATGCCGCCACAGAAGAAATTGGCAAAATGCAAGCAGGCGAAACTTTCAGACGATCAGCCACTAAAGCATCGGAATAGGAGCGTAATACACCTCACCACAAGAGGGCAGCAACAAATCATGCATTTCCAGAACAGAATAAAATTTGATCCAAAATATGCGCAATACAATGAATGAAATTCATCACAATAAAATATTATACTGGGGACATCTTGCATCCATACTCCTTTTGATATATTTCGCATTTCAAAAATTTTGCCCCTCCCGCCGTGCACAATCCCCATTGTCCTGATCAGGAGTAAGTGGTTTTTTTTTTCAGAGTTGGGGAACCTCATCAAAAATGGGCCATTGTGGGTGCAAGCTCTTGTTCCAGCCAAGTATTGACACACCTGATTCTACTAATCAATGTCCATAGCTCAAACTCTTCATGAATGGTGGGATAAGGTGAGTCACTGTTTGAATGGAACCAAAGCCTGTCCCCGCACCGGCCCTTTCTGGATGAGGTTCCCCATAGATAGCGGATGTGGTACAAGAGTGACCACCATCATCTAATGACAAATCCAGTTGTGCCAACATCAGTGTCAATTAGTTCAAGTTCAAGTTCCAATTTTATTGTCATATACATAGTAGTACAGTGTACCATACGCAATGAAAATAGTTTGTTCTGGCACTCTCTCAGGCACAATCGTAAATTGTGATAATAAATAATACCGAGCAGTACCAGATTAAAAGCATAATAATAAATAAAACAACAAAAACACACTAAAGCACATTAAGCCCCCTGCCCTGTCCTCCAACCCCAACCCTACTGCAAGGCTATGCTGTTGTTCAGCAGCCTTACTGTCTCACTGTAAAACCTGGGAAGTTAACTCAGACTGTTTGAGGAAACCGATTGCCTTGAATCATCTGAGTTTGGTAACTCATTTAATTAAGTGTGGATAAGTCATTTAACTGAGTTATAAGTACATGTATATTTTGTGTTGTGCTAACTTAAAGGAGTCAAGTAAACTATACTTATTACATTCAGCAAACTTAAACTGAAATGAAGCATTTCTTTTTACTCATTTGTTTAAGTTATCTTGACAAGTAAGAATTACGTAAGATTGACAGAAATGAAGCATGTGCATACCACTTTCTCATTTTGGCGGTGATTTATAATCATATAGGGCCTTGGCTCATTTTCTTCATTCATTCCTCTCAGGAGCCTCGTTTCTCGTTCTCACTTATAATAATTACAACTCCGATCATATGAGCACCAATAGACAGTAGTAACTGGGGTATATTCAAAGAACTAAATTGTGCGACGCGTAACACAGTGATGATACATTTCTGTATTTAGGTTAGGCTTAGGGTTAGGTTGGGAGGGACTCTTCTTCACCGCACGGCCAGGCTCCAATCAGGGCAAAACCTTTGGCAATGCTTGAGATTGACAGCTGAACAATTGAGGGTATCGCCAATACGCAAAAAATGCCCGGATGTTTCATCTGTGCCCCGTTCCAGATACATTATGGGATAGTTCGGTGACCCGGTAGCTTCTGGTCTCTGCAGAACCCAACAGTAACTGTACTGTAGTCATTAAGGCCATGGGTCGTTATTGTGAAACTGCCATGTGTTCGTGGAACGAAAATAAGCGGAAAATAACTTCAGAAATACCCCTGGATGAGAGACTTATACGCCCAATGACCGAATATATATGTGCGTGTGTGCCAATGCGACTCGCAATGAGCTGACGCCAAGCGTTGCCGTAGGTTCTTCAATGCATGAAAGCACATGGGTGGTAGAGGAAGCAATAAATATTGTCGAAAATGCTATATACGGGCATTTTTTGCGTATTGGCGATACCGAGAATTGCTATGCCAACATGCTGGCAATCAAGTGAGCTGGGACACTCATGAACAACTCACCTCATGTGAACTTCTTTATATTAACAACAGAATTTATGGACTAAACAATAGTGGTTTCTCGTATCATAAATCAAATCTAATCTTAAAAAGTTGAACTACACACGTTAACATCTACCGTTTTTTTTCAAGACGGTCGCCATGTTGGAATATTTTTAAACTTTCAAGCTCTGGCAGAATAGGCAATTTGATTGGTTGATACATGGCTGACGTTTGCGTAGGCTGAAGCCGTGCTTTAACCAACCGGACTCAACTCATTGCAATCAATTTTTTCCTACTCAAATATGGATGAAACAAAAATGTAGACTCTGTTTGTTATTCTCACAACCAGTCTCTAATGAGTTCAGCATACTTGAAACATTTAAGTCATTTCAAATTTCTGCTGTTTTTAATTACTGTTAACTTAATTCAACTAGTAAGATATACTGTTAGGTTTTACAGTGCTGAGGATAAAAGCTGTCTCTAAGACGTGAGGAGCGTGACTTGATACTTGATAAGCGCTTCCCTGATGGAAGGTAAGAGAAGAGCCTGTGTGCGGGATGGGTTGTGTCTTTCATAATACTTAATGCTTTCTTCCTACAACGTGATGTGTATATGTCTTGGAGTCGGGTAAGTGGAGCTCCAATGATTTTAGATGCTGCTTTTACTGTTCTTGTCAGGAGAGTGAGATCATGTGATGTAATGCTGCCAAACCATACTAATATGTTACCTGTCAGTATGCTCTCAATTGTGCACCGATAGAAGTTCATGAGGGTCCTTTTGGACAGCCCATATTTCCTTAGACTCCTCAAAAAATAAAGCCTCTGTTGTGCTCTTTTAAGTGCACAGCTGATGTGGAGAGACCAGGAGAGATTTCCAGAGATGTGGATGCCTAAGAACTTAAAGTTGCTGACAATTTCGACAGGGGTGTTGGTGATAGAGACAGGTGTAGGAGCTGGCTTACTTTTCCTGAAATCTAAAATTAGCTCTTTGGTTTTATTGACATCAAGGGACAGATTGTTTTTGTTGCACCACATGATCAGGTTTCTCACCTCATCGCTGTAGGCTCTTTCATCATTGTTGGAGATGAGTCCTATCACTGTAGTATCGTCTGCAAATTTTACAATACTGTTAGTGGGATGTTTTGCCACACAGTCGTACGTGTACAGACTATATAACAGGGGACTAAGACAGCAGCCTTGTGGGGCCCCGATATTCAGGACTAAAGGGGATGAGAGTCTGTCTCCGACTCTGACTGTCTGTGTGCGGCTGTCAGAAAATCTTGCAGCCACCTGCAGGTGGAATTGCAGAGGCCCAGGACTGCCAGCTTGTCCACCAGTATGGATGGTACAATAGTGTTAAAAGCACTACTATAATCAACAAATAACATCTTTACATATGTACTCCTCCCCTCTAGATGTTGCAGAACAGTGTGTAAGGCCAGAGACAAAGCATCATCCACAGCTCTATTTGCTCTATATGCAAATTCTAATGGATTAATAGTGACCGGAATACAGTTATTTATACAATTACTGTCAGCAGCCTCACAGGAGCAACATAATCAGTTGGGTAGAGTCAGCGGAGTTAGTCAGGTACTGCATGTTACTCTGCCACCACCTGCTGGTCATCCGAGCGCCATTTTTCGGTGTCTTTTGCGCTCTGTCTGCTTATGCCGCTGTGACCATGGTGCGAAAAGAAGCAACACCAGGCAGCCGAATGGTAAGGAGGAGTA